TCTTTCATTAATATATACATTCATACATTTAACTCATTCATTCCTATGCATTCATTCATCTTTACTCAATCATTCTGTTTCAACATTCGTCATTAATTTTCATTCATTCTACAGTGCATGTCCTTGAAAGTAATGCATGGAGTTCTTTGCTTCGTACAACAATATTTGTGGAGGGGGAAAATGGGAGTCAAAATATTGGAAAAGAAAGGTTTTGTTTTGCATTAAAGTACTATCGTATTATTATTTTAAGAAAAAACACAATATCTGGCATAGATGGAGGATAATAAGACGTATTTAATGTGAGTTTAAACTTTTTAATGCAAAACTCTGAGATATAAAATATTTTCCATAAAATTAAAAATAAATACTGTATCTTAACTTCATTTTCTCGGTACTTCGTTCACTGAAATTATGTAATATGTACGTTCACTGAATTTCTGAAAATTATAATTAAACATTTTTGTGAGTCATCGCCTTCTTAAAGCATACTTTTATTATAGAAATGTCACTTACTACAATAGAGAAACAATTTCTTAAGACACATTCTAGATTTACACGTGACAAAAAATACAATACTGCAGTCATAAAAGTCCCAGCACGTGCTCGAAAAGTAAATTTCAGCACGCTCTCAATGTCAGGTATTACGGTGAACGTGCACAATGTGACACAATAACTGACTACATTTCAACATAATGAGCCATCTGTGACCGAAAAGAGAGAAGGTTGAAAATAGATACAATAGAAGCTTCGTGAGTTGAGCGATTTGTTTAGTTATAAAGATTTTGTTTTATATGACTATAATTTCTTTATTTTTTTATTTAGTACTTATTTATTTATTTATGCGGTCGTTTGACGCATTTCCGCAGTGATTTTTCTGATATGATGAGGATATGAGGCTTGACCTAATATATTAGTAAGTCCTGATGAAGAAATTTTTAAAAATTCCAAACGTTGGCAAATTAATTGTTTCATTGTTCATAATTGACCATTCCCGTGATCTACATCCCTTCAAGTTTTCAAGTTTTTAATCACAAGTGCACTGCGACAAGCGTTTTCCACGGATGTTTACGCGAATTCCACCCCCGACGAGCGCGGCAGTAGTTCAGAGGACTTGCCCGGGCGTTTAAACGGACAGCGGCCCCACGGCAGGCAGGGATTGGCGGCAGGCGGAGGAGGAGCCTGGCGGCGAGGCGCGGGGGCGGGAGAGTGGGCGCGGCAGCCAGCACCTGCCGAGTGGAAGTGGTCAGGTGCGCCGCTCCAAGGGATCTCTGAGGGCCGCTCCGCGCTCCAAACAAAGAGCCCTTTGCGCGCCACGCCGCGCCAGGCTGGGCTGGGCCGGCCCTCTCTGCGCCGCTCAGGTGCTTCATTGAGGAGGAGGAGGAGAACAGGAAGGTCTCGGAGGGGGTGCCCGCCCGGACCTCCGCGGAGAGCGTGGAGTACGGCTTGGGGCCCAACGGGACCTGCAGGCCGCTTCCTAAATGCGTCACAGGGTCTCTTGTCCGTGCTTCTCGGTACGAGGGTTGAGTGCCGCTTAACTCCTATGGACTGACTGTTATGCTCAAACAGACGTCACAACATCCTTGTTGAGAGAATCTTGTGCGGATTTTTGGAAGCATTAAGATTCGTCTCCTTAAAAATGAACAATTATTACGCCATTTAATACACCAGTTTCATTCACTCCGATTCATATATTAAACGTTCTTCTTTTGTAAACGAGAGGTAATTATTTACGTAAAGACGCAAGTCAAAAGAAATGAAATTTTATGGGTTATACAAATTTGGGTATACATACGAGTTATATTGGTTTACAAGGGGTTAGAAGGTATTCGATTAAAATTGATACGGCATTCAAAAACTATGTAAAAGATTCGTTCAAGGCTTGTGGCATGTACTCCACCACGTCTCTTCAACAACAGGAAATGTTTTAAAGGTCATATTAACTTCCTTGAAATGGCCAACTGTTTTCGAAGTACACAAACTACTATGTATAAAACGACTTTGAAGTAAAGTACCGGTTTGGTCTATGTTGATTTGTAAGATCGATAAGACGATTTCTTAAGGATAATTTCTCTAAAGAAATATTTGTCAGTGACGTTCACAAATTCCATTTGTCTTAACCAAAAAAAAAAATTTTTTTACACGTGCAATTTATTACTTTGTTTCATCACTTTCGTTACATTACCTCATCGTACACTCGTTTGTAGTACTCGTACAACATGGTTGTAAGTTGGCGAGGTACAAAGTGAACTTGATATTATTAATATACTAGCTTTTACCAGGCGTTGACAGCTATTAAACTGCCTCGTCCATCTTGCGGGTCTCGTCCGTCTCCTCCACTCAGCCATGACTCTCCTGGCCACAACTACACCTCTCTCATCCACCCCATCCGCTCAATCTGCTCCTCCCGCTCAAATTGTTCGGGCAAGTAAGTAGAGATCTTCTTCATTTACACATCATTACATTAATAAAAAAAATATTAACAAGATTATGGGAATCAATGCACTTCAATGCTGGATAAAAATATTAATGCAAATGTTTTCATCTTTGTAATATTTAAAAATTAATTTTGTTTATCGATGCATAGAAATTTGCCAATTGTTGATTCGCGAGAGCATTTTTAGATTGTAGTACCGAACCCAGCAGACGTTTATCTGCCCCTCATCTCCCTCTTTCTTCTTCCCTCTCCCTTTCTCGCTTTGTGTCTCTCAACGTCTCAGTCCCTCTCTGCCTCTGTCTCAGTCTGTCTGACTCTGTCTCTGTGTATCTCGATCTGCCTCTGTCTCTGCCTCCCTCTGTCCTTCTCTCTCTTCCATTCTCTCTGTTCCTGTCAGTTTCTTTCTCCGTCTCTCCGTGTGTCTCTGTGCCTCAATCTGCGTCACCTACGGCTACGGTTCGCAACAATGAAGCCTAGGCAGAGCACAGTTTGAATGGAAATGTAATTAAAATGAGGCGCAATTTTGTTCTGCAGCGCCATCTAGTGGAGTTACAACAAAATTAACAACACATAAACTTTCTGAGTAAAAAAAATAAAACATAAAAACACGTAGATGTGCAACTTTCATGAAGATCGGGCACACGGTATCGGAGTTTACCGCTCTTATATATATATATA